GGAGCCACAGGCAGGGCCATGGGGCACACAGGCGGGGGGGGCCAGGAGATGTGGGGGGAAGCTCCTTCTCAGCTCCCTCTTGGCAAGGGCACAGCATGAAGAAACAGCACTGACACTAGAACTGTATCACCTGGATGTTTATTCCTTGCATTTGACAGACTGGATCATAGCTTGTAGCGCCAAAGTGTCCACAGAATTAATCTAAGCCTAAACTGAAATTAGTCACCACAGTGTGCCAAGCCGTGTCCAACAACATTTTTTTTTATTAAACCATTATAGCAAACACTGTTCAACACATAGAAAGAAAGCACATAATAAAAATTGACATGGAAGTGGTACCCTTGAACGAGTCTATTCCCTACTTAATGACTTACAGTAGAAATTAGCTACTTAGGTCTACAGTGACTTTAGTGTAAGGGGCAGAGATTTGGGTAAACATTACAACAATCATCAGGGTGAGACAAATCCAGCCCTGCCGTCAGCCAAAGACGCTCTTGGCCGGTTCTTCTTTCGGTTTCTCAAAGACTGTTTCACCCCCTGTCCGATCCTTGCTGAATATGGAGGGTGCTGCAGAGCCCATTTGTTCTTGGAAAAGAAAACCAGGAGACGCAATCAGTGAAGTAGCACACCAAATTCAGGGAATAAAACTAGTGCTGCTGAAATACATATATATACATCTGATAAATATTTGATTTGTCCTTCAACTTCCCAAACCTTAAAGCACCGCACTCCCATCCCAAGCATGGGGCAACTGACAGCACCTGTAGGCGGTTGCTGCCATTGAGTGGCCCTAAATCCCTGCAGGTGCTTTAGAAACTCAGAAACTACTGGAGTCCAGGCTATTATGCTGAAAAGTGGTTCCAATTAATAATTTTTCCTTATACTCTCACACTGGTGGTGGAAAAGCAACACAAAACCAGAGCACCAGGGGTGTTGAGTGCAAGCAGCCACTCTCTTCTCTCTCACCTTCTGCCCTTTTATCCCCCCCAATTTCTGCTTCACCTCAAATACATCAAGTTCATCCAACTGAGAGGCCAGAAACCCCTAATCTATGACCAAGCCTCCAATCTTCAACTTGGGCAGTCATTGGCATTGGCTATGGGCCCAGGGCTTGGTTTGAACGGTGGTTCAGAAGGCAGAGCCAGCTCTCCCTCCCACTTCGCCCAGAGACAGGGAGAATGACCGCTCCAAGCAGAGCCCTGTTGGCACCTCCTGGCGCCATCAGGATGGCGGATGCAAAGCCCCTGCACAGCCAGGCCAGGGTCGGTGAGTGCACAGCTGGCTGCTGTTCCAGAGGCACAGCCTTTCACTTGAAAAGAGCAACTAAGTCGATGTTTTCCTTTGGAAGGCTGCTTAGTCATTTCCATCAAGGAGACTTACCACACTGCTTCATCACTTGGTAGGTTTTGGATTTAATTTCCTGGTTTTTGGAAAGGTTTCTTCTGGCTCCTTTGAGGTCTTCTTCCTTCACTGGAGGACGCTTCTTTTTCACAGGGTCTGGCTAAGAAACAGATGTATTGCCCACGCATCAGTATTTTGTGTTTAGAAGCACAGGGAACAAAGCTGCCTTAACATACAGAGGTTGCTCATACAATATTCCACCCGTTTCAGTTCTGAGGCTGCATGCTCAGCTACTCCGGATCTTTGCACAACCATGATTTCACTGCCCTTCCCAAGATCTGTTGCCACTACTACCGCTCTGTTCTGAAATTGTTGTCTGATTGTGCAGCCTTTGAAAGAGACAGACAGTGGATTGCTTTTTTTTTTTTAAATTTACTTTTAAATTTTCTCTGTCCAGCTCTGCTGGCCTTTCCTGCAGGTACAGACTGGTAATTCAAGGATCTGTCCAATGTTTGGGAAGGAAAAAGCCCTTCATTACTAAATTGTGCTTCTGCCTCAGTCTACTCACTACTACTTTAGGAAATTGAGAGATTCTGAAGTCTGGCTTGATTTAGTTGAAATGAACTTCACACTTGCCCCATAGTTACTGTTCTTAAACGTAGAGAACAAAATATCTGAGCACTCCACAGGGTTGTCTACAAGCACGTACTGAACACATCTGAGACACTGGACTTGGAACCCAAAAAAGGAGAAGGAAATCTAATATAGAAACAGATGCATCATCAGGTGGCACACTGGAATGTCCAAGTACTGATCTGTTTACAGTTTATCTTGCTAGAAGAAAATCAGGATAACATGGGATCATATCAGCCTATCCCTACTTTTAAATGGGCACTTCAAAGTCAGACATGTCAGTCAGCAGCAGTCGGCACCATTAACATTCCCTCTTCAGTTTACTGTTTCAAGGACCGATTGCCAAGGTCCCACCAAGCAGACCTCGCGGCAGGGTGCAGGGGCACAGGAGATGCTATTAAGAAGAATAAAAGACCCCCACACTCCAGCTGTAACGGATTTGCACACTGAACCGGCAACGAGACACTTCTTGACAATTCTCTGTCGCTAGATACGTAGGACTTCTGATACTTGGGTTTTGGCAGCAGTGGAGCCCACTTGTACGTTTCCAGACCACTGCCTGTAAAGCTAAGAACAGTTGTGGAGGGAAACAAATCCCTCCAGGCCTGCGAATGGCTGGAGCAGTGAGTCCCAGGGAGCTCGCAGAGACAGTGCTTCCATGCCTGGCTCCACGCAGGGCTGGGCTGGCTGCACTGGAGCCTTCGGCATCTTTCCCTGCTGGCTGTAAATTCCTGGGAACGCTCAGAATAGCTCGCTGTCAATCCCATTTGCATGTGTTGTGGGAAACAAAACATTTACAAGAGCTCTGGAGAAAACACTCTATGAGTAGCCAAAGCAAGCAAGGGGAAAGGGTGGTAGCAAGCCCTTCAAAATTCACAGGAGTTTTTGTTCAGTTAGCTGGTTAACCAAACATCCCTACAGCCAGGGACTTGTTTGTCCATCTGTAATGAAAATTGGCACATGATGGGAATGGGACCGTGGCATGGTCAGAAAGGGAAAAAAACCCCTTGTTTTGTTAACAGGAATACGAAATCTGCTAAGATCCTTCACCCTTTATTGGGAAAGGACAATAACTGTGAGGCTTCCTTCCATTGGGACAAGGGACTTCTTGGGATGGGGTAAGGAAAGGAAGCATCTGAGATGCGCAGACACACAGCCAGGCTGAGCAGAACTGTTGACCTTCACCCAGTTATTTTAGAATAAAACCTCTGCTGTTTCATTACAGGTGGATTTCCCGGCAGGACAGCTACTGGGGATTAGCTGGCCCCCAGCTAAAAAGCAAAAATGCTGCACAGAAAGGCTACTATTGAGCCACAGAAGCGAGCCCTGGACCTGCCAGCACCAGTAGCCACCAGTTCGCAGCCGCACACTGCTAATTGCTCCCAACGCAAGTGCATTTGTAAGCAGGGTTTGCCAGGAGGCATTCCCAGCTGGCACAGCAGCGCAGCCTGTGCTTTATCTCCTCCAGGCACAAGTCAAAAAGTCAAAAATTTACAAGACGTGACTTGTTTTTTAAGTCTCTTTTTCTTTGGAGTAAAGAAATAATAAGAAATAAGCCGAACTGAGTTACTCTCTGTGGTCAAAGGATTGTGCTCTTCTCCCCTCCCTGTATTCTCACCCTCCATCCCACCCACCCACCAGGTAAAACTCTCACACCGGGGAGAACTCTGCAAGGCATGCGTCACTCGTCTTGAAAGTGTAACACTTATGTGAAAACCTCAAAATTTTTTAGCTAACTTTAAGATCGCTTTGAAACACTGATTATTGGGGAACACAGTGAAGACAAATGAACATTAGTGTGCAATACAAAATCTGTCTCAAATGCCGTACCCTAACAGTTATAATTTTCAGCCACTCTCCCTCTTTTCCCGTGTGTAAATACATTAAGCTTTACACAGCAGCACACTTCAGTGTAGCCACATCCTTTCAAAACTACTGCAAAAATCTCAAATCATTGTCTGGGAAAGCGAGTTGGAAAAGCAGAAATCACTCCTCCTGTGCCACATCCCAAACCAGAGCAGTGGAAACGTTTTTTCCCTTCCTATAGAAATAAAAATATTTATGGTAAAACAGGACATTTTAAAATTAAATTAACTGTGTAGAGGGAAGCTGCTTTCCTTCTTCATCAAATAATCCCTCCTAACAAGTTACTTGTTAAAATACACAAACAGAGCATTTAAATACTTCAACATAATCAAACAAGTCACATAGAGCAGAAAAGCTGAATTCACTGGGCAATGTGAGTAACTCACTGATAAGCTACTGCAAGCAGACAGCCTAAAACAGTAACACATTTGTCGGGCACCCTGCTCCAGTGAGCGCCAGCCCCATACCGATCTCTCCGTACCTGTGACATAACTGTGGTGCTCACTCGACCGTAATCCCTTCCGAGGTCGTTTCCCGGCTTTGATTAAATCCAGCCTGTGCGCTCTGCGAATGCCTGGTTTTTTCCTCGACTTATATAGAGCATCTAACGTGAAGTCATTAGCTGGGTCATTTTCCCAAAGCAGAACCCGGGATGATTCAGGTTGATGGAGGCTGTTGTTGTTGAAGGGTTTATTCTTGGCGATGACGAGGGTTTGCAGTATTTACTGTGCCTGGAGCCTGGGGACGGCCGGAGCTGGGGACTGATGAGAGCAGACAGCTGAGGCAGTGGGACAGCAGGGAAGCCCGATCCACTGCAAAACGACTTCCCAGGGAGCCCACTGGGGCTCTATTTATAACTTTAAAAGGCAAAACTTTGTTACAGACACAAAATTGACTATGAATTCTCTTGGGGG